ATTTGAGCTGTTGATGAAACTCGGAATTTGTCGGCCGTCCAGCAGTAATTGGGCAAGCCCACTGCACATGGTCCGCAAAGCTGATGAATCCACATACTTGCGGGTAAAGTCATCTTTTCGAAAATAGGNTCGCCCGCCGCCTGTCGAAACCATTGCAAAGTCTTCGGGCCAACCAGTTTTTCCCGACCGAGACGCCTTTCTCCAGAAAAACTAGCCGCCGCTCGAGCTGAATTTGAGCTGTTGATGAAACTCGGAATTTGTCGGCCGTCCAGCAGTAATTGGGCAAGCCCACTGCACATGGTCCGCAAAGCTGATGAATCCACATACTTGAGGGTAAAGTCATCTTTTCGAAAATAGAAATTTCGAAGCTTGTAAAGAAAGCCTTGCGAAGTGCTCATAACATGCTCATCCTATACCTAATGCGACGCTCTCCTTATGGGTTGACGCTTCGGACAATGCCAGTGGTGCTGCTTTACATCAGGTAGGTAGGTTATTTCAACGATCGCTTTAAAAAGCTGAGCAACGATACAGCACTTACGATAGAGAGCTTACTGCGATGTTCCGGGCAATGCGTCATTTTCGCTTTACGCTAGAAGGACGAGAGTGTCACGTATACACTGACCATAAGCCATTAATTTATGCTTTTCAGCAGCGCCCCGAGAAAGCTTCCGATCGCCAAGCTCGTAAATTAGATTTTATCGCACAAATTACAACGGATATTCGGCACGTTCCTGGTCAACAAAACATTACAGCAGACCTCCTATCTCGTATCGAATCCATAACATCGGAGTCGATTAATAACGATGATCTAGTAGAGGACCAGACCAAAGATGAGGAACTTCAATTGGCCAGGTATACAACGGGATAGTCGCCAATTTGCAAAGCAGTGCAAAACCAGTCGACATTGCGTAGCGCGATTTAAACGTTGTGAGTGCCTAAATCAACGCTTTTCGCATTTACATATAGACATCGTTGGGCCGTTTCCGATATCTGACGGTAAACGCTACTGTCTCACGGTAATTGATCGGTTCACTGGATGGCCAGATGCTTTCGTAATACCAAACAGGACCGCTCCGACAGTAGCTAAAGCTTTGATTGAGGGCACGCTTCGGCGTTCCAATTGACATCACGTCAAATCTTGGACGCCAATTCGAAAGCTCCTTATTTCAACAACTTTTACAATGTCTTGGCGTTAAACATCTACGGACAACTGCTTACCATCCGCAAACCAAGAGCATAGTCGAGCGATGGCACCGGACACTAAAGTCCGCAATAATATGCCACAACCTCGAACATTGGACAAGTTTTTTACCGCTAATTGTTAGGATTTCGGTGTTCGTTCAAGATTGACATTTGCGCCTCTCCGGCGGAATTAGTTTTTGGAACTACCCTACGTTTACCATCGGAGTTCTTTATTGATGGCAGTCGACCGATCAGCGAAATGGAAATGGTAACACATCTTCGACATGTCATGAGGGATATTCGCCCTCTGCCTGGCACACAAAACAAAAATTCGTACACAGTGATCTTGCGACGTGTGATCAAGTTTTTGTTCGAGATCTTTCTGTTCGCCCATCATTATCGCCACCTTACAAAGGACCATACAAGGTGTTAGAACGTCATCCTAAATACTTTGCTCTCGCCGTCAACAACAAGGTGAACGTCTTCATTGACCGGTTGAAGGCAGCTTTCTTTGCCGCACCCTGTATCTAGGAATGGAGTACTGTGGGACATCACAACTAGATTAACTTATTTTAAATTAATTTCCTAATATCGTATTTTGAAGTGCAACTCTGCAACAATGTTAAAGTTTTAGTTTAGAATGCAACCATTTGTGACATTTTGCTTTTGTTCATTTTTCATTCTCTCTTTGTTATGTTTTCGTTGGGAGCTGATAAAATGAAATGATTTTTGGTCTCGTTCTTTTTGGATCGAGCCGTACCAGCGAAAACATCTTTCTAAGAGGAATTCACAAGGTATCCACATATATAACAAAACTAAAACATAAATGCCTTTTTTGGCAGCTTAATCTAGGGAAGTCTAGAAAAAAAGAAGTCTGATGAGGAGATGTGATGATCTCCGAAATAGCTGCTATAACTTCTACCGCTTAGACTTAGTTGCTTTTTCAATTTTTCCTAATAAACAATCGTCGTACAAAGCTCAATAAAAATATTAAAAATAAAAATGTTAATAAGCCACAATAACATTGACAAATTAATTAAATTATTTTATATCGCTAAATTTCAAAACAACGTCAAAAATGTTTTTAGAAATGCCTGATAAAGATGAAATAATAACAATACCAACATTTAAATCAAAGTGTAGGGCGGGACGGGATTTGAATTGGAAAATTACCAAGCGCAATAATATTTAAACTTGTAAATTTGAAACTGAATCTTAATGTTTAAGTTGTTGGTGTTATGTGATGTTCAGAATCAATCACTACACTAAAAGTGCGATGGCAACTCCTTAACATTTTGCTTTTGTGTTATTCTAATCTACTGTCATTCCTATTGCTTATGTCTTGTTCTTTTTTCTCTCAGCACGAAAAGCACATGTGCTAAGTCGATACTTGCAATAAAATTACATTATTACAGATCAAACTGCTTACTTATTGTTTAAACAAGGCTATCAAATCTAACATTAAATTTGGCAACCCTTGCGGGGAACAGATTAATATATAATATACTCGAATCGGGATTCTCCGCCCTCAAGATTCTACATAACCTCACACCGAGGCAAGCAGTTATGGCGCTCAAGAAAGAAGAAGCCCTAGCTAAATATATACAAAACTTCTCCATTAACACCAATAAGGTATCCAAGACAAAGCAGACAAAAGGCTACTTCGTCGCGCGGAAGCACTTGCTGGAAGACTACTGGGCCAAATACAGTGCGAATTATGATGAAGTTCGCAATATCGAGCCTACTGAGGAAAGCGAGAATCAGTTGACAAATGTGCTAGCAGATGGTCATTTCGATGCAATAGAAACTGCTTATTGCGAAGCTGTCGGTGAACTTAACGACTCCATCGAGCAGTTGTCTATCGCTGGGCATGATACGACATCCGTTCGACTTCCGCACTCCTCAGCGTGCGCGATATCAATTTTGCCTAAAATTGAACTCCCTAAGTTCGATGGCAAGCTGCAGGGCTGGTTGCAATTTAAAGACATGTTCACGACGTTGGTAATTGGTGACAAGTCCTTGTCGAATGTGCAGCGCTTGCATTACCTAAAGATCAGTACGAATGGCGAAGCAGAAACTCTGCTGAAGAATATCTCTGTGATTGACAGCAACTTCTTCATTGCATGGGATACTTTATGCCAGCGCTACGATAGCAAAAGGCGATTAGTGAAGATGTACTTAAAAGAAATCCTTAATATTCCTTACTCTCAAACCGAATCGGCTGCATCAATTCGTAAAATTTTGAACGGCGTTTCTGAAGCCATTCGGGCGCTTGAGCATTTGGAGTGTCCAACCTCTAAATGGGATGACTGGCTGGTGTTTTTAGTGACTGAAAAACTTGATCCCAGCACTGTCAGAGATTGGGAAATCTCACTCGAATCGCCAAATCATATTCCAACTTACAATGAGCTTGTGAAGTTTCTGGAGAGTCGTGTATAGGGCTGATGATTTCACCCGGGTAATGAGCTACCCGGGTAGCGGGTGAAGCCCTACCCGGGTATTTTATAACCCGGGTAGACCCGGGTAAACCGGGTACCCGGGCAGTATGGTAATTACCCGGGTACCCGGGCACCCGAAAAAATGTGGAGAGGTGAAAATTAAACGCATTTACGATCATATAACGCAAACGAACGTACATAGGGAAAATCTATAAGAATCTTCCGTACCATATGGGGAAATATTATAATATACAACACATACATTGCACTTGACAAATCCGTCATTCATCACACAAGCGTACTTCCAAACCCAGCTTGTTTTAGGCATGTCTAAAATATTAATATTTACGAAGTTGGTAATGCACGTACAGATATCGGATCGGTAACAAATANCCAGAATTGCCTAAAGGCTGGTCATTGGTTTAACGAATGTACATCTGCATATACCTGCCAAAAATGTAATCAAAAACACCATACTATGTTACATGACGGCATGCATCCGATCAGTATTGCAACGCACCACGCTCGTGCCTACGATGAAGACACAACAATAACAACATCACAGAACCATGTAGTGCTCGCTACAGCTCAGATAAATGTACGTTCAGAAAATGGCTACTGTCTACAACTCAGAGCACTTTTGGACAGAGGGTCTCAGGCGTCTTTTATTACGGAGTTTGCGGCGCAACAATTACACCTTAAACGTAGACGCTTGCAGGTCCCGGTAACTGGTATAGGATGTACAAATGCTGCAGTCTCTTCAGGCTTAGTGGAATTCGACGTTAGCTCTATCTGCTACCCAGGTTTCAACATTGGGTGTACAGCGTTAGTTTTACCACGTTTAAGTCAACAGTTACCAGGCGCTCGCTTGGATCCTACGCTTTTTACTGACCTTTTGACCTTTTTGCAGATCCTAGATTCTATGAGCCTGGTCCGATAGACGTAATTTTAGGAGCTGACATTTACGTGACTTGCTCTGCAGTGAACTGAAGCAGTCATTCACGAGCGCCTCCGTGGCACAGCATACACACTTAGGTTGGGTCATTCATGGACGTTGTACTGAATACATCGCCCCACTACGCACAAGCTTTTGTGCGGCAACAGCAATCGAGCTCAACGAGTTAGTTAAAGCTCTTTGGGCTTTTAACGCGTGTGAAGATGGCGAATCGTCATCTAAACTCACTCTTGATGAGATTTACTGCGAAGACTTCTTCGAACGTACAACTCGCCGGACCGGATCCGGTCGCTATATAGTACGTTACCCATTTAAACCATCAGCTGACTTGTCTGTGCTTGCAGATACTAAATATGATGCTGAAAAGCTTTATCATTATCAAAACAAACGCCTGAACAATGATATTTATTTTAAAACACTCTATTATGAGTTTATGTCCGAATATCTCCAACTCGGTCACATGCAACCTGTGCTTTGACTTTGAGCCGCAGCCTGTCTGCTATATTCCCCACCACGGTGTTTATAAAGGCTCAAGCTCAACTACAAAACTACGAACCGTTTTTAACGCATCACGTAAAATGAAATGTGGTAGGTCACTAAACGACTGCTTGCTTGTTGGACCAAAGCTCCAAAACGATTTATCCGCAATTATATTGAATTGGCGATGGCACAAGATCGCATTTACGGCCGACATCGAAAAATGTTTCCGACAAATCTTGGTTGACCATAAGGACGCAGATATGCAACGAATCTTTTGGAAAGATGAACATGGCCAGCCTTGCCTATATCGCTTACTTACAGTAACTTACGGACTCAACTGTTCGCCTTACTTAACCATTAAAGTTCTCCATACTTTGGCGAAAGATGAGGGTACAGAATTTCCAGAAGCAGCAGATGTTTTAAAGGAATGTTTTTACGTAGATGACTGTTTAAGCGGCGCTAGCTCTGTTGATAAGGCAGTGGAATTACAACAGCAATTACAGATTTTGCTACAGCGCGGCGGATTTACACTGCGAAAATGGAATTCCAATTCCGGAGATTTTCTTCAAAAAATTCAAGGAACAAATGCCAATAAAATATGTGCGCTTGATTCGGACCAAGACACTAAAGCACTGGGAATTTATTGGTCATGCCAGGATGACTATATTGGGTACAAGGTAAAAGTGAGCGTAGTTTCCGTAGCAATCACTAAAAGACAGCAGCTTTCCGACGTTGCAAAAATTTATGATCCTGCTTGCTTGCTGGCTCCTATCATCATCACTGGCAAGCGTATGTGCCAAGATCTTTGGCGTACCGGATGTACGTGGGATGACCCGATTCCCGAACCTTACCAGAGTGAATGGATAAAATTCCGTGATGAGATGCCACTGATGGAAAACGTAGAAATTCCGAGGTGGCTTTTCACAGCGGACGACATAGAAGAAGCTCAGTTGCACGTATTCTGTGACGCGTCATCAGCAGCCTTCGCAGCCGTCGCGTATCTACGGGTGACGCAGTTGAACGGTGAAATAAAAGTATCTATTATCATGGCGAAGACCAAGGTGGCACCGTTAAAGAAACGAACCATACCCTGTTTGGAACTAAATGGAGCAGTGCTTGCGAGTACTTTAACCTGCAAAATTCTTGAAACTCTGCAGCTTAAATCTACTCACACATGGTACTGGTGTGATTCGAAGACAGTGATCAGCTGGATTCGGTCCAATCCTGGACAGCATAAGCAGTATGTTGCCAACCGGATAGCAAAGATTCAGGAGATGACAAATGTAGACGCGTGGCGGTACGTGCCCACTAAATGCAATCCGGCTGATGTCGCGTCTCGTGGCATTTACCCTTCGCAACTTGAAGACCTTAGCATATGGTGGGCGGGCCCCACATGGCTACAAAAGGACGAAAGCTATTGGCCAGCAAGCATCGTGATTGAACCAACAAGCACCCAGGCGGCTGGGAACGACGATCTTAGCATTGTGTCACTAATATCGGTTCCTAAGCCTGATGACTGGATTCTTCAAAAATACTCGTGTATCCAAAAGCTACTAGCCGTCACTGCTTGGTGCCTGCGTTTTGTATGTGCAGCATTGAGAAGACCCCATGAGAACACTGACTTTTGCACTGCTGCAGAGAGAGCTAAGGCGTTGAAATATTGGATAAGGTACGTTCAAAACATACATTTTTCTAATGAAATCTCCAGTCTCCGGCAGAAAAGAGGACTCAATGCAAAGAGCAAACTCCTAAAGCTCAACCCAGTGCTGGATGATGATGGACTTTTGCGCTTAAATGGACGGCTGAAGAACGCCAGTTTACCTTTCTATGAACGCTTCCCTATCATCTTGCCAAAAGACAGTCAACTTAGCAAGCTTCTTATCGCGCAGGCGCATGAAGCCACGCTCCATGGCGGCACACAAGCAACTCTGCACGCTCTACGCAGACGATACTGGCTAATCGACGCTCGGTCAGCCATAAAAAGCTTTATCCATCGGTGCATTAAATGTTTTCGACAGAGAGCTGTAGGTTCCAACCAGATAATGGGGAATCTACCTACACACCGGTGCAATGCTGCTGCTCCTTTCAAGCACTGCGGGCTGGACTACGGAGGTCCGTTTAAAGTTCGAGCTACCAAAGGCCGCGGTAGCCGCAGCTTCAAAAGTTATGTGGCACTATTCATATGCTTGAGCACTCGTGCTATACATTTGGAATTGGTCAGTGATATGACAACCGACGCGTTCTTAGCAGCACTTCGACGTTTTTTCTCCCAACGCGGCTATAGCTCCGATATTTATAGTGACTGTGCAACAACTTTTGTCGGTGCTAACACAGTTCTGAGGGAAGACTTTGTCGCCTTTCGCGCTCAAATAGAGACTGGTGCTCGTTCGGTGGCACTACACAACGTATCATGGCATTTTATACCTCCAGGATCACCAAATTTTGGGGGTATTTGGGAAGCCGGCATAAAGAGCATGAAACACCATCTACGTCGAGTCATAGGTGAATCAATGCTCACCTTTGAGGAATTTTACACCGTCTTAAAGCAAATTGAGGCCGTTTTAAATTCCAGGCCGATATCTGCTCTTTCCGACGACCCTTCGGATCTGACGGCGCTAACTCCTGGGCATTTTTTGGTTGGTGGCCCGTTAGCCGCCACGCCCGAGCCGAACCTTCTCGACATAAAGACAAGCCGCCTCACTAAATGGAAGCAACTCCAACAGATGCAGCAAGATTTTTGGAAAAGGTGGAGTGCGGAATACCTACACGAACTGCAAGTGCGTCACAAATGGCAACAAACCAAGTCTAATTTAAAAATTGGAGATCTGGTTCTGATTCGCGATGAACGCGCACCCCCCACTCAATGGCTCTTGGGCCGGACTGAAGAAGTGCACGCTGGTGATGATGGGATTGTTAGGGTGGCAACAATTCGCACCAAATCGTCTTTGATCAAGCGAGCCATCTCAAATCCTTATCCTTCCAATAGAAGCTGGCACAGATGAGACATATGGTGGGCGGCCGCACGGTGAGCTCCTTTTTTCGTCCACAATGGACGAGGTGGGCGGGAATGTTCAGAATAAATCACTACACTAAAAGTGCGATGGCAACTCCTTAACATTTTGCTTCTGTGTTATTCTAATCTACTGTCATTCCTATTGCTTATGTCTTGTTCTTTTTCTCTCAGCACGAAAAGCACATGCGCTAAGTCGATACTTGCAATAAAATTACATTATTACAGCTCAAACTGCTTACTTATTGTTTAAACAAGGCTATCAAATCTAACATGTGATTTATGCAACAATTGCTAAAATACTATTTTGGTCTTTTTTTTTAGGGGTTTTAGTAAACTAGGACTGAGGATTTCATGTTAAAGTAAAACGATGTTAACTTAAATTTAATTTTAGCAATCTATTAATTTCATTAGACCCACAAACTCGTTATCCGCGATTACTCGATAAAGTTTGTATTAGAGATGGGCGCGGGATAGCGGGACCCACGGTACTGATTTAAAATTGGCCGGGATGGGCGGTATATATGGCGGTAAATATGGCGGTCGGGACGGGACCAAAATCCTTTCCCGAAACTCCTGATAAAACCACAACCCCCTCAATTTCACAAAATCTTCCTTAAAAACGAGGTTTGAAATATGCACTTTTAAAGTTTTATTGAGACGAAGACGAAATAATCGAAAGATGCCAGGTGTTTCATTATTGTTTTTAACCGACTTCCAAAAAAGGAGGAGGTTATCAGTTCGTCGGAATATTATTTTTTATGTATGTCACCGCACAACTTTGGACCACGTCAACCGATTTCGATAATTATTTTTGCATCGGAAAGGTAGTATCTCAGAGGTCTAATCTGGTTAAGATCCGATCAGTGGATCATGAGATATATATATATATATATTTTTTTTTTATATGAGAGTTGAAGTCGGTTTTTTTTGCTAAGAATTACTTGCTATTATTTAAAATTAATTTGAAAGACATGAACACGATTCAATTTGTTGTCAGTTTATAGCCTTGCTTTAGAGATATATATCACTTTACTTGCCACTCCTCTTAGACTTTAAACAACACAACTTTAGCTGCTGGAAAGTGCTGGTTTTATTGAAATTTAATTTTTTCAGGTTACTAGGAATTTTGTTTTCTTCGAGTAACTCATTTGCACTTGATCTCGACCGAGACAAATTTTTGTATTTTCGCTTTTGAATAGAGAAATTCTGATTCATTACTTTTCCAATGGTACCCCATTTTTGTAAATACAGCAAGAAATATTAAACTTATAACGGAATTTTGTTGACCCAACTTGACTTTTTTATCGATATTTGCCACGCCCATAATTCGAAAAAAAAATATTTCTAAGTCCATTTCTGTAAGTTTATAATTCCTTGTTATAAGGAAATTCTAAATATAAATTTTTGTCATTTTAGCTTTTGTAGTTAATTCGATATTTCATCTTTTACCTCTTTAAAAAATACATTTATATAATAGGGTGGTGTGACAGTACCTCTAAATGACAAATTTTGTTGTAAAAAGCTGCGCCTGTCTTAACGTACCTGGTGCAGAATGTCATTAATCTATCTTCGATAGTCTTCGAATTACGGAATTAAAAGCAGCTGGATGGGTCAAATCTTACTGTGCGCCGCCCACAGATAACCACAAAAATATATCTCGGTAACCGATTTATCAATTTGTACCTCGGTGGACTTAATAACCTTGGTATGGAAAAGCAATACGTTGAAAATACGAAAACTGCGATATTTCAGTAATTGAGGACGCTATGTAATTTACTCCAAGTTAATACAGTATATTTTGCTTTGCTGCCTCTATGCTTAAGTGCACATTTAAGATACCTACCCCAAAATGCGCATCAGAGGCATTATTTTTAAAATTTATAAGGAAACTGCTTCGATAGATGCATTCAACATACCTGCACATTGCCGAAACCTGCCTTAAAAATTGTGCGACTAGTATCAATTTTCAATGAAAGTATTACGTTTACCTGCACTGGCCTTATTTTGCTCATCTCGCAGAACAACGAAAATGGCTATCAATTTATGTAGTTATATAGATAATTAGATAGCAATCGGTAAAAATTTCGCTTGCAGTAATCAACCCCCTCCCCCCTAAATTTCTTTCTGGCTACGCCGATGCTCGCATTCTAAAACACCAGCGCGCCATCGAAAATCAGAGCAGTTCTGATGAAGTATGCTGGTACCACGCAAAGTTCGGCCAAAAAACTACCAGATGTCGGCCACCATGCACGTTCGCTCGCTCGCCACCCACAAACGTTTCACAATAGGGTTGCTCAGTCATTGGCATTTCAGATATTGGCAAATGCCCTCGAACTTTCGTATGTGTATATTTGATACGCCCACAAATATTAATTTTTTAATCGACTCAGGCGCAGACGTATCAACGATACCAACATGTTCTAAATTGGCTAAAGCAATACCATCGGATATGAAACTGTTTGCCGTGAACGGTACAGAAATTGAAGTTTTTAGTGAAGTAATCCTAAACCTAAGCCTAAACTTGCGTAGAGATTTTATGTGAAGTTTTGTGATTTCGGATGTTACTCAAGCGATTATTGGCGCCGATTTTTTATCGTATTATGTCCTGCTACCCGATCTTAATGGACGGTGTTTGCTCGACCGCAAAACTGTCTATAACACGGTATGATCAGTTGCGCAACTCAATAGAACTCAAATTAACTCGACAAGTGTGTCAACCGTTAATACAGCCCTAGATTTTTCAAACTTACTCAAAGAGTTTTGCGATATCACTCGCCCGCCGTCTGTCGAAACCATTGCAAAGTCTTCGGGCCAACCAGTTTTTCCCGACCGAGACGCCTTTCTCCAGAAAAACTAGCCGCCGCTTGAGCTGAATTTGAGCTGTTGATGAAACTCGGAATTTGTCGGCCGTCCATCAGTAATAGGGCAAGCCCACTGCACATGGTCCGCAAAGCTGATGAATCCTGGAGGCCATGCGGCGACTACCGCGCGCTAAATGCAGTTACGATACCCATTGCCCTTCCTGCATGACTTTACACACATACTTGCGGGTAAAGTCATCTTTTCGAAAATAGAAATTTCGAAGCTTGTAAAGAAAGCCTTGGGAAGTGCTCATAACATGCTCATCCTATACCTAATGCGACGCTCTCCTTATGTGTTGACGCTTCGGACAATGCCAGTGGTGCTGCTTTACATCAGGTAGGTAGGTTATTTCAACGATCGTTTTAAAAAGCTGAGCAACGATACAGCACTTACGATAGAGAGCTTACTGCAATTCGTATCGAATCCATAACATCGGAGTCGATTAATTACGATGATCTAGCAGAGGACCAGACCAAAGATGAGGAACTTCAATTGGCCAGGTATACAACGGGATAGTCGCCAATTTGCAAAGCAGTGCAAAACCAGTCGACATTGCGTAGCGCGATTTAAACGTTGTGAGTGCCTAAATCAACGCTTTTCGCATTTACATATAGACATCGTTGGGCCGTTTCCGATATCTGACGGTAAACGCTACTGTCTCACGGTAATTGATCGGTTCACTGGATGGCCAGATGCTATCGTAATACCAAACAGGACCGCTCCGACAGTAGCTAAAGCTTTGATTGAGGGCACGCTTCGGCGTCCCAATTGACATCACGTCAAATCTTGGACGCCAATTCGAAAGCTCCTTATTTCAACAACTTTTACAATGTCTTGGCGTTAAACATCTACGGACAACTGCTTACCATCCGCAAACCAAGAGCATAGTCGAGCGATGGCACCGGACACTAAAGTCCGCAATAATATGCCACAACCTCGAACATTGGACAAGTTTTTTACCGCTAATTGTTAGGATTTCGGTGTTCGTTCAAGATTGACATTTGCGCCTCTCCGGCGGAATTAGTTTTTGGAACTACCCTACGTTTACCATCGGAGTTCTTTATTGATGGCAGTCGACCGATCAGCGAAATGGAAATGGTAACACATCTTCGACATGTCATGAGTGATATTCGCCCTCTGCCTGGCACACAAAACAAAAATTCTTCGTACACAGTGATCTTGCGACGTGTGATCAAGTTTTTGTTCGAGATCTTTCTGTTCGCCCATCATTATCGCCACCTTACAAAGGACCATACAAGGTGTTAGAACGTCATCCTAAATACTTTGCTCTCGGCGTCAACAACAATGTGAACGTCTTCATTGACCGGTTGAAGGCAGCTTTCTTTGCCGCACCTTGTATCTAGGAGGGGAGTACTGTGGGACATCACAACTAGATTAACTTATTTTAAATTAATTTCCTAATATCGTATTTTGAAGTGCAACTCTGCAACAATGTTAAAGTTTTAGTTTAGAATGCAACCATTTGTGACATTTTGCTTTTGTTCATTTTTCATTCTCTCTTTGTTATGTTTTCGTTGGGAGCTGATAAAATGAAATGATTTTTGGTCTCGTTCTTTTTGGATCGAGCCGTACTAGCGAAAACATCTTTCTAAGAGGAATTCACAAGGTATCCACATATATAACAAAACTAAAACATAAATGCCTTTTTTGGCAGCTTAATCTAGGGAAGTCTAGAAAAAAAGAAGTCTGATGAGGAGATGTGGTGATCTTCGAAATAGCTGCTATAACTTCTACCGCTTAGACTTTGCTTTTTCAATTTTTCGTAATAAACAATCGTGGTACAAAGCTCAATAAAAAATATTAAAAGTAAAAATGTTAATAAGCCACAATGACATATGATAAATATATTTTAACTTAACATTTTATTAAAAATACCTTTGCAAACCTCTTTTCCTTGCTAATATCCATTTTTGTTTATTTTTACATTCGGCATTTCTCCGAATATCGATAAAACTAAGATGGACACCGAAAAGTTTTCGGTTAGATCTGAGATTATTTTATAATTACAGATTAACAAGGAACGAATTTTATATGGCTAATCTCTTGTTTTAATTACAGATTAGGGTGTTAAGCTCGAACATTGGGATAATCTACTTATATGTGATCCTAGTATTAGCTTATCTATTAACGATTTAACTATACAAGTCGATTGACTGTGTATGTTCTTGTGGTGTGATTGTACCAGCTCCTGGGGTCGTGAGTGGGGAAATTAGCTCAATTTTCTCAGTTAAAATTATTTTGGCGGAAATTTCTTGCACTATATGAGTCAAAGCCATGTATATGGAAGATTAAGTTCATGATATTGCAGTTGTGAATTAAAAAAAAAAACAATGTTTAACAAAATGGTAGAAAAATTATGAAATTTCGGCTCTAATCATTTCGATCTCTCCTCGACCTCATTTGTAAAGAAATAAATATTGTACCAGTATGCTGATAAGTTATATGCTCTGAGGCTGATGGTACAATCACTTGATGGAGCCAGCACGCTGGTGTCGTATATTTCCACTTTTATAAAAAAAAAAGGTTTTTGGTTGGATAAAATATTTGCTTTTTTCCCTCAGTTCGTTGTTTTTCTATACCATTACTTATTGAAAATGTTTGCGTGTATACTTATATGTATATTTATATGTAAGTAAAATATGTTGGTTACCATTTTTAGCCACAAAGACATTTTTTAGCCCCTTTTCAAAGGAATTTGGCTACCACTACAAATGATTCGCGGCAACACTGATGTGTGTGAGCGTCCATAAGAATACAAATGGAATTCTTTGGCGCATATTCATAGTCGTATTTAGTACTCAACTAAGTCGAAACTATTCTAAGTCACAACTAAAGCTATTCATAGTCGCCTTAGTTTCGACTTTTCTGGCTAAGCACCAACTTAAATTTTAGTTTCGGCTGCAGCTGCAATTAAGTCGTAACTAGGAAGAAGTATTTTATCAAATTAAGGGAAAACAGACGAAATATGTAAAAATTAGGTTGGTAGAGGGTGATTTTGATAATATTGAATAAACTCCAATTAAAATTTACAAAGATCGATCCATTTTAATCGGAAGATGAAATTAAATGCGTATTACAATTCGAATAAAGCTACATCACAATTTTATAATTGGAATAATTTAGTTAAATTTTCAAATAATAACTCAGTTTCACGCTAGTTGTTTTAAAGTAAATTTGTGCATAACATTTAGATATCTACTATTTGTATGTTTCACAGCATGCTTTCGATAAACATCGACTTCACATCACTGCGGTTGTTCTGGCTATTTCACACAATTAACAAGAAAATTATACCTTATTCTTTTGCATAATCATGCAATGAAAATTACATAAACGGATGATCAAACTTGACATTATTCAATAAAAATGTAATTTTTCCAAAATATCGTAAAGAAAAATCGATACATTTTCACACTTGTTTTGCTATATCGTAAACTAAGTCATAACTACTTAGTAGAAGTCTGAAATGCGACTATGAATAGAAGTAAATTTTAAGTTGGTACTTAAATTTAAGTTGCAACTTTGTTAGTTTCGACTTAGTAGCTGGACTATGAATACGCGCCTTTGCCTTTGCGAACGTTCACGTTCACGTTCGTATTGAACTTTATAGTAAGCTTTAGCAGCGAATACTTTGCTCATTAAATTAACATACTAGCGGCAGATAAATCAAACGTTTACATCACACATTATATTTCTTGCCAGCATTTGATTAAAAACGAAAATTATTTTCCATAACTTTTATTATTTGGAACAGCTGACGAACGACGCACGCGAAAAGTGGAGCATCTTTCTGTTTGCGTTGGCGTTGCCCAACTTTGACTTTCATATAAATGCATGTATTCACAGTCAGCTGTCGAAGCGACGCCAGCGCCAACGAGTAGTATAAATATAGCGGTTCTGGAACCGGAGCAGCAGCAATTTCACCGTTACTATATGGTTTGCTCCTGCTCCGGTTCCAGAACCGCTATAAGGTTTGCTGGTGCTCCGCCGCAAGCTTTGCTGCTCCGCCAAAAGATGTCGCCGATAGAAAGCCAAGTTTAGAACCCAGATAAAAGCCGAAAGATGTCGCCGATGACAAATCCGCGTCCAGAACCGGAACCGATCACAGGGTGTACCGCTGATGGAATTCCGAAAAAACCGATACAAGGTGGTTTATATGTCGAAAATTGGTAAAGTCTATTGATATAGTACATATAACTACATACGTATTCTCATACATACATCCATATGCAAACGTACATACATACATATGTATATACATATATAGATGCTCCACCCCTAGGAAAGTGTGTTAATAATGTTCACATAGTAAATTGCTAAGTATTTAATATGTATGTATGTGTATATGACTGGAAAGCCCTATTGATGTTGATGATGAGAACAAATAAAATTTAATTTGAAATAAAGGAAAGTTTTATACTTACTTATTTATTATAAGATATTTAATGAAGAAATAAATTTTCTTGAAATTATTACATTTTTTCAGCACATATAGAATTTTCATGATATTTACAAGTATTTATATTTATATTTTTAATATATAAGTTCTTTAAATTTGGACAATTTAAATCATCTAAATTATATACAACAATATCGTATCCGAATAAACGTTGAGCCCATCTGATTTTCTCCAATCCTTTAGCGTAGAATATATAATTTTTTCTTTTCATTAGTGAATGGATATATTCAATAACATCCATTAAAGTCGAATCACCATTNTTAAATCATCTAAATTATATACAACAATATCGTATCCGAATAAACGTTGAGCCCATCTGATTTTCTCCAATCCTTTAGCGTAGAATATATAATTTTTTCTTTTCATTAGTGAATGGATATATTCAATAACATCCATTAAAGTCGAATCACCATTTTCCCATTTTAATCCATGATGATTATGATATAACCAGTTGTTAGTTGTTTTATCCCGTATCGTTAACTTAGATTCTTCAAAAGGAGGTTGAATAAGAAACGTTGTTGCATGTGAATCATATGTTGTATGCTGACTTCTTTAGCAATAAATTTCTTATTAAAATAGAATCCCTAAACGTCTATAACCAACGTATATTCCTCTATATTATTTTTTAGAGTCTAGTCAAATCCTATTTAAATAATTGTGAATATAAATATGTNAGAAACGTTGTTGCATGTGAATCATATGTTGTATGCTGACTTCTTTAGCAATAAATTTCTTATTAAAATAGAATCCCTAAACGTCTATAACCAACGTATATTCCTCTAACATTATATAGATTCAGCTTTTTTTTAAATTCGCTTAAAAAATGGTCTTATGAATTTCTATAAAAGTTTATATTATTTTTTAGAGTCTAGTCAAATCCTATTTAAATAATTGTGAATATAAATATGCATTAGAACCATCAATTTTATTAACTAATCGATCACACTCCGCTGAGTAATGAAAACTAAATATCGAATTAATCTTTTTATATACTACATTTGTATTCTTTTTATTTGTCATATGAATACGGTAAATCCATATTATAGTATTAAAAGTTAAGAAATTTCCATATCCATATCATGTTTATACTCAAACTAATACTCAAAACAAGAAATATTCAGTTTACGTGGAAGTAAATCACTATCATATGTATGAACAGCGAATTCGTAGCATAATATTATCTTCATATTGAAGCTGAAAATGTCTATAAAAGGGTTGTGAGCTCTCAATTATTCCCGAAATATTTTCCTCTTTTTGTATTAGATCTTGCCTAAATGCTTCTATGCTTCCTGTGTTGTGAAAAACTTTTTCGGATTAGATGTATGCGCTTCTGATGTCGTTTCAGGAATAGATGTTTTATTTACGTCTTCTTTTAGCCCATTTTGATCACTTTGAGTCCATTTCATTAGTTTAAAGTTCAGTTTTATTTTTATAGTATCATTATTAGGTAGTTTTAGAGAAAACTCTGTATTTTCAAATTCATTTTGACTCAAATCAATAGGTATTGTAGATGAGAATACTTGGACAAAAGAAATAAATGTTAATAATATAATAAAATTATATTTCATTTTAAGTTTCTATTATGAAAATCAAGATATGTTCCTTAGTTCGCGGTTGAGATATAAATGAAATAGATAATTATAATATATTGATTTCTATATAAATATAATTTATATATTACACCTATATCTCTTTACTTTTATCATTTAAATAATTATTTTTTATCGTTAGTGTTATCATCGATAGTATTATCTTTAACTAAATTTTGAACATCCCTTTTAATGAGTTTCCGCTTATTTGATGAAATGATATCTTCTTCAGCATACCGCCTAGCTAACACATCAATTTCACTAAAAATCCATGTCGGTTTAAAACTATTTATGTTTACATCTTTTTGATCACCTTCATAAACTATACCAACTATTCCAATCATACCGCCAACAGCTTCTATTTTAACATGTTGGTTATGAGAAAATTAAAATGATGGAAGGTTTGACGGTATTTGTTGAGATCTAGCCAAACATAAAATTTGAGATCTATACCTTCCTTCAGCAGTAAAAAATACCTCTAAGGTTTTATCTGTTGCTATACCGTTAATAATATTAAAACTTTTCCATTGAGCATGGTAAGTGCAATACCTATTATTAGGTGTCACGGTTTGTCACCAATACATGTTGTTTTATCTTTATTAAGTATTAATATACATGTATATAGATATATATATAAGAATCATAACTATTTTCATTATATTTTATACAATTTTTTTTTGCGATAATTATAGGAATAACCTTGACTTCATCATTGCTTGCCTAATATATCAATAATAAACGGCTGATAAAGAACATATTTAAATATATATTTTAGTAAACTATTTATTGTTGTAACTTATATTAAAAACGTTATGTACTTACAAATGAACAACCTTGTTACTTAAAAATGTATAGATCGTAATGAACATTGAAATATCAACTATTGTAAAAGAAAATTTTCTGAATANAGCTAACACATCAATTTCACTAAAAATCCATGTCGGTTTAAAACTATTTATGTTTACATCTTTTTGATCACCTTCATAAACTATACCAACTATTCCAATCATACCGCCAACAGCTTCTATTTTAACATGTTGGTTATGAGAAAATTAAAATGATGGAAGGTTTGACGGTATTTGTTGAGATCTAGCCAAACATAAAATTTGAGATCTATACCTTCCTTCAGCAGTAAAAAATACCTCTAAGGTTTTATCTGTTGCTATACCGTTAATAATATTAAAACTTTTCCATTGAGCATGGTAAGTGCAATACCTATTATTAGGTGTCACGGTTTGTCACCAATACATGTTGTTTTATCTTTATTAAGTATTAATATACATGTATATAGATATATATATAAGAATCATAACTATTTTCATTATATTTTATACAATTATTTTTTGCGATAATTATAGGAATAACCTTGACTTCATCATTGCTTGCCTAATATATCAATAATAAACGGCTGATAAAGAACATATTTAAATATATATTTTAGTAAACTATTTATTGTTGTAACTTATATTAAAAACGTTATGTACTTACAAATGAACAACCTTGTTACTTAAAAATGTATAGATCGTAATGAACATTGAAATATCAACTATTGTAAAAGAAAATTTTCTGAATAAAACTCACTCGATTTTAATACCTCAAACCTACAGGTTATGGCCCAGCATTGGCTTTGAAATATAAAGAAGTTAATATAAAAATATATATATTTTCTTTTTCTGCCAAGAAAATTTTTCTGCTGGAAAACATATTTAAAGAAATGAGTCACGCTAGCATCAAGATTGAACCACTCACAAAGGGCAACTTCGATACATGGAAAATCCAGGTGGAGGCGCTTCTCATCATGAATGATACATGGAAATATGTTTGTGGAGAATGTATAAAGCCGATAGGACCTGCAGATCTCATTACCGAATGGCGAACCATGGATGCTAGAGCGCGATCAGACCTTATTCTAACTATTTCACCACCAGAATTGAGGCAGATTAAAAATTGTGCTACATCAAGAGACATATGTGTCAAGCTGCATGCTGTATACCAATCCAAAGGACCAGCTAAAAAAGCAATGCTTTTGAAGTCCTTAATCCTGTCGAAGATGAACAATGGGGATGACGTAAGAGATCATTTGCATTCCTTTTTTGAAATTGTCGACCGTCTTCAAGAAATGGACTTGCAAATTGTTGAAGATCTCGTTACGGTTCTGCTCCTGTATAGTATTCCAGACGAGTATGAAACGTTTTGCATTGTAATAGAAACCCAGGAAAAGCTTCCAGAAATAGAGGTACTTAAGATAAAGTTATTAGAAGAATACGAAGCTAGGAAACGGTCTGGGAATGAATCAGTTCCTGGAGCATTGTTTGTAAACAAGTCTAAACAAAAGTCAGCAAAAGGCGGAAACACGAAGCAAGAACGTTTTAAGTATGCATGCCATGCATGCGGAAAAATTGGGCATAAGGCAATTGAGTGCAGATTACGTCACAAGGGAAATATAAATAAGCACCAAGTACAAAAGCAAGTTGAATCAAGCAGAACAGTGGAAGTAGCTATGCAAGCTGGAACGGAAGAAAACATCTGGTGTTTAGATTCTGGTGCATCGTCACATATGTGTGCACAGAATTCTAAATTTACGGAAATATAATAGCCGAGAGAAAAAATTTTGAATTTGGCTAATAATAACTCGACGAAAATCGCAGGAATTGGGACAGTAAAAATCCAAACAAAGAAGGCACGAAGTTGAAACTAGACGGAGCTCTACATGTTCCAGATCTTCGATCGAATCTTTTATCTGTGGGGAAAATTACCGACCACGGGTTTGAAGTCATCTTTACGAAACATGGAGCAGTTGTCAAACGTCCAGAAACTGGCGAGGTTTTAATCGTTGCACGCAAAGAGAGGGATTTATATTTCGTTAGCGAAGCGGATGAGGAATGCAGAATTGCTGAATCAGACGCGAATACATTGCAAGACTGGCACGAACGTTTCGGGCACCTGAACTTCAAGGACTTAAAAGACATTATTAAGCAAACGAAAGTTAATGGAGTAAGTATTGAAACTGAAGGCGAAGTTAAAAAATGCGAAACATGTATAAGAGGAAAACAGGCCCAAACTCCATTACGAGAATCAATTTCAAAAAGTACAGACATTTTGGAACTTGTTCATTCTGATGTGTGTGGACCTATGCGAATAAATTCCATTGGCGGTTCACGTTACTTTCTCACTTTCATTGACGACAAAACAAAATGGTGTGAGGTATATTTTTTGAAACATAAAAATGAAGTGGCCGGAAAATTTAGGGAATACAAAAATTTAGTAGAAAAACAGAAAGAAAGAAAAATTAAAACTTTACGCTCACACAACGGAACCGAATACATATGTAAAACGTTAGAAAGTTTTCTGAAGGAAGAGGGTATCAGACATGAATTTTCAGTGGAATACACGCCACAACAAAATGGTGTCGCTAAAAGGAAGAACCGAACTCTTGTGGAAATGGCAAGATGTATGTTGATACAGTCGAGATTATCAGGAGGTTTCTGGGCAGAAGCAATTTTAACGGCGAATCATATCAGAAATAGATGTCCGTCTCGAAGTTTGAATGGTGAAGTACCGTTTAAATTGTGGACGGGTCGTTCTCCGGTAGTGAGTTACTTCCAAAAGTTTGGTATTACTGCTTATATGTTGGACAAGAAGGGAAACAAAAATAAATTTGAGCCGAAATCACGGAGATGTGTGTTCATCGGTTATTCCACACAGTCTAAAGCTTACAGGCTGTGGTGTCCAGAATTAAAGAAAATTTTTCGAAGCCGTGATGTTATATTCGATAATAATTTTGTTGAGGAAGAAAATTATACAGATTTTATTGATGATGAGTATTGGAAGGATACGTCTATAGAAATAGCTTTTGAGAACAAGAAGAAGTGTGAAAGAAATGAAGTAATCAGTGAAGGTGGCGTACACGATGATGTACTTGGTGGAAGTAGCAAGCCACAAGAAGAATGTGAAGTATTCAGTGAAGGCAACGTACACGAAAATTCTGAACGCGGTGAAAGTAGCGAGTCCGAAGAGGAATTCAAAACCCCGGAAAGTTTAAAAAGAGGACCTGGAAGACCAAAGAAAGTGTTAACTGGAAAAAGAGGCAGACCAAGAAAATTGTTTAATGTGATATACAAAACAGAAGAACCGAGTTATGAAGAATTCAATATTGCCGGGGTAGCAGAAAGTTGTGACCCTTTAACGGTTAAAGAGGCAATTGCTGGTAATGATGCCTATGAATGGAAACAAGCTATGCGGAAAGAATACGATGCGCTCCAAAAGAATGGAACTTGGAATATTATTGATCGACCAAAAGGGAAGAAAACTATAAAGTCAAAATGGGTTCTGCGCACTAAATTTAACGCTGATGGAACGGTTGAACGTCGTAAAGCACGTCTGGTTGCTAAAGGGTTTACGCAAATACCAGGTATTGATTATAACGAAACGTTTTCCCCTGTAGCTAGGATAGGCTCCATTCGGTTGTTGATGGCACTAACAGTTGAAATGCGACTACATGTACATCAGTTGGATTTCGTATCAGCATATCTAAATGGTGACATTGATGAAGAGATTCTAATGGAAATTCCGGAAGAGTTACCTGAAATTTTAAACGAAAGAGAGTGGAGGATGTACTCAGGAAATAAAATTTGTAGCATTAAAAAGGCACTATATGGACTGAAACAGTCTGGAAGACAATGGTATCGAAAGTTAGATGAGAAGTTAAAAGAACTTCATCTTAGACCATTGAAAACAGATGCATGTGTTTACATAAGAAAGAAAGAAAATACTTCATTAATCGTAATAATTTATGTTGATGATCTAATACTAGCCGCGAACAGTTTGGAGGAGCTAAATCAATTAAAATCAGAATTGGCTAAGTTATTTGAAATGAAAGACTTGGGCGTCTTAAATTTTTGTTTAGGAATCGAATTCAAATGTGATTTTTCTAAGAATGAAATCTCAATGACTCAAGCAAAGTATATTAAAGATATATTAAATCGGTTTAATATGAATGACTGTAACGCAGTTACCACTCTTATGAATGCAGATGAAAAGCTCTCCAAAGATATGTGTCCGAAAAATGAGGACGAGAAAAAAGAAATTGAAAAATTACCTTATCAAAATCTAATCGGATGTCTACTGTATTTAGCAGGATCTACACGTCCTGATATTGCATACACCGTAAGCGTACTTAGTCAATTTAACACAAATTTCGGAATTAAACATTGGATAGCAGCAAAACGAGTTTTACGTTACCTTAAAGGCACTCAAAATTTAGGCTTATTATTTAAAAAGAATGGTAAGAATCTTACAGGATACGCAGTTGCCGATTGGGGTGCCAGCATAGGCGATAGAAGATCGTACACAGGATTTATATTTAGTTATGGTAGTACAGCTATTAGCTGGGAGTCCCGAAAACAACGAACAGTAGCTATGTCAAGTACTGAGGCTGAGTATATGGCTATATCTGAATCTGCTAAGGAAGCTATTTACCTCAGGCGTTTTCTTGATGAAATACTGGATTCACAAGGGCCAACAACAATTTTCAACGACAATCAAAGTGCTGGAAGACTTTGTAGAAATCCTATTTTTCACAACAGAACAAAACATATTGATCTCCGTTATCACTTCATAAGAGAAGCAATCGAAAGAGGAGATATACAAATTGATTATAAAGAAACCAGTCAAATGCCCGCAGATATTTTAACGAAAGCTATATCATATCCAAAACATAAACATTGCATTGAAATGATAGCTTTACAGAAATCTTGAGTTTCTGTTAATTTATTCTTACTGTGTTAACTAGAGGTATTCATTTGAGGGGAGGTGTTGTAACTTATATTAAAAACGTTATGTACTTACAAATGAACAACCTTGTTACTTAAAAATATATAGATCGTAATGAACATTGAAATATCAACTATTGTAAAAGAAAATTCTCTGAATAAAACTCACTCGATTTTAATACCTCAAACCTACATTTATATTTCATAATATGATTCAATTAAAATGTGAAAAAAAATAACCTTGAATTCAATGTTGTTGACAAAAAATATATTAATTGTTTTTATTACCCTGCTTATATTTCATAATATGTTTCAATTAAAATGTGGAAAATAACCTTGATCTTGATTTCATCATCATTGTTTGTCTAATAAGTATATTAATGCTAAGTAGATGATAAGGGATCTACATAAATAACCTTGATCTTGATTTCATCATCATTTTTTGTCTAATAAGTTTATTAATGTCAAGTGAATGTTAACGAATCCCACATAAATAACCTTGATCTTGATTTCAGCATCACCATTGTTTGTCTAATAAGTATATTAATGTCAAGTAGGTGATAACGAATCCCACATAAATATATAAAAATATGTGTATTTAAATGTTTTATTCATCTCTTTATATGTATATTGTTGACTTAGTGAGAAAAGTTGTTAAGTCCACTTTTTATGAAAACTAATATTTTTGATATAGGAAGTAAAGATTAAAAGTACATCGTTTCGATAAGTATTAAGATACTTTTTTCTCGTTCTCTCTCACTTCGGTTCATTAAAAAATTTTTTATAAAAATGGAATACATTGAATATTTAATATCAAACGAAATTGTGATTTTGTTCTATTAAAGCTGAAAGCGAGAATAATAAAAA